GGGGTTGAGATCTAAAGACTTTTGTACATATTGGGGTTGAGATCTAAAGACTTTTGTACATATTGGGGTTGAGATCTAGAAACTTTTGTACATATTGGGATTGAGATCTAAAGACATTTGTACATATTGGGGTTGAGATCTAGAGACTTTTGTACATATTGGGGTTGAGATCTAGAGACTTTTGTACATACTGGGGTTGAGATCTAAAGACTTTTGTACATATTGGGGTTGAGATCTAGTGACTTTTGTACAAATTGGGGTTGAGATCTAGAGACTTTTGTACACATTTTTGGAAGTGCAGAAGAAAATGTTCAAAGCTCTTGCATTTTTTGCACACAAAAATTAATAAGGAGTGAGGATTAGACTTTCACTCAATGTCTTTATAACTTACTTTAAAACACTGTTTAGTCTTGTAAAAGTCTCCAATATGAAGTTATCTACGAGTTTGAGAAGGTTGAATGTAATTATTTGGTCACGTAGAACTTTTCCTAACCTCTTTGTCTTGTAGCACAAACGTTTGTTATTTAGTTGGCCACAGTGGGCTTTGTAAATGTCGTCCTTGACATTGTTTAGTTGGCCACAGTGGGCTTTGTCGTCCTTGACATTGTTTAGTTGGCCACAGTGGGCTTTGTCGTCCTTGACATTGTTTAGTTGGCCACAGTGGGCTTTGTCGTCCTTGACATTGTTTAGTTGGCCACAGTGGGCTTTGTAAATGTCGTCCTTGACATTGTTTAGTTGGCCACAGTGAGCTTTGTAAATGTCGTCCTTGACATTGTTTAGTTGGCCACAGTGGGCTTTGTAAATGTCGTCCTTGACATTGTTTAGTTGGCCACAGTGGGCTTTGTAAATGTCGTCCTTGACATTGTTTAGTTGGCCACAGTGGGCTTTGTAAATGTCGTCCTTGACATTGTTTAGTTGGCCACAGTGGGCTTTGTAAATGTCGTCCTTGACATTGTTTAGTTGGCCACAGTGGGCTTTGTAAATGTCGTCCTTGACATTGTTTAGTTGGCCACAGTGGGCTTTGTAAATGTCGTCCTTGACATTGTTTAGTTGGCCACAGTGGGCTTTGTAAATGTCGTCCTTGACATTGTTTAGTTGGCCACAGTGGGCTTTGTAAATGTCGTCCTTGACATTGTTTAGTTGGCCACAGTGGGCTTTGTAAATGTCGTCCTTGACATTGTTTAGTTGGCCACAGTGGGCTTTGTAAATGTCGTCCTTGACATTGTTTAGTTGGCCACAGTGGGCTTTGTAAATGTCGTCCTTGACATTGTTTAGTTGGCCACAGTGGGCTTTGTAAATGTCGTCCTTGACATTGTTTAGTTTGTCTATTTCAAAAATGTATCCAAATCTTCTCTTCTTTTTATTTTCTTACATTTTCTTCACAGCCACTATATTTCTCCATAGCACTTTCTCTTCTTTAACTAGTTGAATGTGTATGTTAGGACTTACATAAAGTCAAGCGGATCTTCAAATCGAAATGCTAATAAAGAGGAGAATACTATTGCTTAAATTGTATCGTCCAGATCCCAAATAAATCGATATCAATAGTTGAAGTAGGGTTATTCTTTTAGATTCGACAAATAAAATAGGTCTCTGATTTATTTCAGGGCTGGAACGAGTTTAGACTGTGCAATGTAGCCAGAACTGGAGGAATCGAAGCCACGCAATCATGTCTCAATGACACACTTTTGGCTGACGCCAGTGGGAAAACAAAGTTTTATTTCACCAGTAAGAAAGTTGGCCTCTATAGCTACAAGCTACTTCTTCCTAAAGGAACGACTTGTGATCATTGTGTGTTCCAGTGGAAGTGGAAAACAGGTACAAAATAGGAGAACATTGTCCTGATAGGCTCTGGTAGGACATTGACTTGATAGGCTCTGGTAGGACATTGACCTGATAGGCTCTGGTAAGACATTGACCTGATAGGTTCAGGTAGGAAATCGACTTTATAGGCTCTGGTAGGACATTGACCTGATAGGTTCTGGTAGGACATTGACCTGATAGGCTCTGGTAGAATATGCTGAAATTGTTTGAGAGAGACAGACATTAGCTTTCTTGGTGTTATAGACATTTATATTATAAACACTGGTATTATAGACATCGGTATAACAGATTGATATTATAGACAGTGGTAATATAGACATTGGTATTACAGATTCATATTATAGTCAGTGGTATTATAGACATTGGTATTACAGATTGACATTATAGACAGTGGTATTATAGACCTCGGTATTACAGATTGATATTATAGACAGTGGTATTATAGACCTCGGTATTACAGATGGATATTATAGACAATGGTATTATAGACCTCGGTATTACAGATTGATATTATAGACAGTGGTATTACAAATTGATATTATAAACAGTGGTATTACAGATAGATATTATAGACAGTGGTATTATAGACATTGGTATTACAGATTGATATTATAGACAGTGGTAATATAGACATTGGTATTACAGATTGTTATTATAGTCAGTGGTATTATAGACATTGGTATTACAGATTGATATTATAGACAGTGGTATTATAGACCTCGGTATTACAGATGGATATTATAGACAGTGGTATTATAGACCTCGGTATTACAGATTGATATTATAGACAGTGGTATTATAGACCTAGGTATTACAGATGGATATTATAGACAGTGGTATTATAGACCTCGGTATTACAGATTGATATTATAGACAGTGGTATTACAAATTGATATTATAGACAGTGGTATTACAGATAGATATTATAGACAGAGGTATTACAGATTGATATTATAGACAGTGGTATTACAGATTGATATAATAGACAGTGGTATTACAAATTGATATTATAGACAGTGGTATTACAGATTGTTATTATAGAAATCGGTTTTTCAGATTGATATTTTAGACAGTGGTATTACATATTGATATAATAGATAGTGGTATTACAGATTGATATTATAGACAGTGGTATTACAGATTGATATAATAGACATCGGTATTACAGATTGATATTATAGACAGTGGTATTATAAGAAAATTTTGATTAATTAATTAAGCATGAAAAAACTGTCATGGAATAATCAAAGCATTTTACCCTTCTTTACCTTTACCTTGACCTATCCCTTAGTCTGTTGGACCGTTGGGGCAACAAGCAGGATTTGTCGACCGTCTTTTTCCATTCCTCCGTCTTTTGCCTTGTTTAAAATCTCTATCACTGGTAGGCCGTCCATTCTTTTGTGTTGTCCTCCCATCGCTTTCTCTGCCTCTTCTTCTATTTGCTTGTACTGTTCTCTGAAGGAAGGTCTTTGCAAGCCCCGTGGATCTTGTAATATGGCCATATATTTTAAGCTTGCGTTTCTTTACCATAGTTAGCAGGTCATCATGGGCTCCGATCGCTGCAGTAGCCCTGTCTCCAATCTCTTGGTTTGTGGTGCGGTCTTTGAAAGTGATGCATAGGATCCTTCTGTTGCATCTCTATTCCATTGCTAGGATCCTCCTCTCTAGCTCTGCAGTCAACGTCCAAGACTCGCAAGCATATAAAAATGTGCCCATGACCAGGGAGCGCATCAGTCTGATTTTGGTGCCGAGAGCCAAGCCCAGGAAGAGTTCTACGGTTGTTCTGACATTAAAATCTTACCTAAAGGCTCTCCATTAACTACATCACAACCAAAGACTACCACCAACAAGCCGAGCATAAGGATTTATTCAAAGAAATTTCTATAAATCAAATAAGAACATAAAACTAAAATGTTTTTTGACCTTGGTTAGGCCAATAATTGAATATGCATCCACCGTGTGGGACCCCTTAACTCTAGAAAACATTAAGAAACTAGAACAGACACAAAATAAAGCAGTGATATTCATAACAAACGAATATTCATATTTGACTAGAGTAACACCTTTAGTAAAATTACTAAATTTAGAAAGCCTTCAGGATAGAAGACTCAAAAGTAAAGTAGCAATTATACATAAAACACTGAACCATAATTTTCAAATACTAAAAAATTTAATAAAATACTCAGAAAGACACAAAAAGAATGACTAATATCTTGCAACATATGCTAGGACACATTTGTACAAATGCTCCTTCTTCCCTAGTGCTATTAGAGCATGGAGTGGGTTGCCTGAGCTAGCAAGGAAAGCCAGTGACTTAGCAGAATTTCGGTCATTGGTGAATGTGAATGACTAAATGCATGACGCGTAGAATCCTCTTTTTGAAGTAACGTCTGTATCATATGTGATACAATAAGATTTATTTGGAGTAGTTAATTATACATTGATATTTTATTTTGTTAAGATCAAAATCAATATTTATCTCTATGTTCAGGAAACAGCTGGGGCTGTGACGCTGCTGGTTGTGGAGTAGGTCACGGTGACGCCCAGGAAGAGTTCTACGGTTGTTCTGACATTAAAATCTTACCTAAAGGTTCTCCATTAACTACATCACAACCAAAGACTACCACCCACAAGCTGAGCTTTTCTTTCAGACCCAGCGCGAAGGACTACCTTGGATACAACTTGCTGGACATTTTCCGAGAGTTCGACCTTGTGTCCAGAACGTTCGACGTGTCAGAAAGAGACGATGACCTTGACCTCGACGACGTTCTTCCCGTCAACACAAGCGCGCAGGAATATTTGGAAACGTTGATCACATTGAAAACTCAAGGGAAGCTACCTTACATACCCCAGACACATCCATCTGATAGTAAAATAGTTTTCTAATTCAGCGTGTTTTTCTGAACTAAGTACAGTGATCAGTACGTCTTATTTAGATTAGTACATCTTAGTGTGTCAACTAACTACTATTACTTCTGCAGTAAAATTGCTGCTTCTTTAAATCTTTCGAGATACAATATCAAGAATTGAATCAATACAAATTAAACTTGACGATAATGATTTAGGAAACAATTTTTTTTATTTTTTTTTTAAAGAAAGGAAACCTCACAATTTGCGCTATTCAATTTTAGCTTTATCATCATAGGATTTAGGAAACAATTTTAGCATTGTAGATTAATCCTAGTTAGCCGTTATATTAAAGTATTTATAGGAAAATATAAATGTTGTACAATAGTGTAATAAAATAGCTTTCCAAAACTTGTGTACTGTTATTTCGTCACGTGAATATTTGTTTTGAAACTTTTAAATATTTGTTAATATCTCCTGGCGATTGATTAATTGTGTTTGCTGTTGAATATTTATAAATGTATCTTAAATTTAAATTCAAATTCTTTTGATAAAAATTTCCTTATCTTTCAATATGAAAGTATAGCGAAGCAAAAGTGTGTGCTATCCTATTCGAAAATAAAAGTGAATAAAGCCAACTTTTTTTTTAAAATGTGTATGTGTAGAATTATTTGTTTTAGATTGTTGTGTGTGTGTTTGTGGCAATGTGTTTGGAAGAAAATAATAAACAGTCATATGGAATTGTTACTTCAGCTACTGATTTTTATTCAATGCTACCGGCGAAGAAATCTAACATTTAAAATTGTAGGACTTTGTGCATCTATCTCCTGAAAATATTTGTATTAAATATAACAGTATAGAGAACCTAGATAAACCTAGATAAACAACTCAAATCAAATGATTGTTCAGTAGAATTAATAAATTTCACACCTTGATTCCTAAGATACGGTCTACTTTCTTTGAGCAATAGGATGCAGTGACAGTGAAAAAAAAAAAGAGAAAGCGATATAGTGATATAAGGGAACGATATAAGGAAACCTAAAGTAAAACGTTAGAAAATGATGAAGACTGGGGTAAATGTTGAAATAATTGGATCAAAGAAGCAAAGAGAAAGACACGAAATTAAAACATAGTTGCCAACTAAATATTTCAAGTTTTGAATTGATATTTTTTAAATTTCCAACATTACCGCTCGTTGGTTGAGGACAGGGGAGGCGTCACTTTAATATTAGTAAAAAAATATGTCATTTGCATTATTAAGTTTGTATAACCATAAATAGTCAAAGGACCATAATCTTATTTGCGATATCTGGATGATCTTTTAAAAAGGGAACAGACGTGCGCCCAAAGCTCGCCTACTCATTGGTGCATTGGTGACTATTTCAGATAGAAATAAATAAATACATAGCCCTATCCCCAAGGGTTTTACATTTAATGCAATGGAAATAAAAAAGGCCGCATAAAATTAAAGAAAAAAGATAGAAAAATTCTACGAAATCCAATCAACAAAATTACAATATGTGTATATAATTAACTAATTCAACATTTTATTCCGCAATATGGGTTAATTTTAATACATTATCTTATTTAGCACAATCTGCAGAGTTAAAATTAATACAAATCTTTTATATAATATGTCTGTAAAATAGAAATAGATATAATGTACAAGATCAATTAGGCATTAAATAAAAGGAGCTCAGGAGCGTCACAATGGATGTAGTCATGTGATCAACCAAACTGGTCCAGCAACGTGCTGTTCCTGGTACGCTATTTTGCCTCAACGTGGCACTCAGGTGGAAATGATTACTTGAGGAAGTGATTTGGCTAAATGAATAGCAAAATAAAACTCCTGTGGAAGTGTCCAAGGGAATGCGAGAGCTTCCACGTCTCTGTCGATAATGCGCCGTTCCTCAAGGGACAGTTACACTAATGGCGAGTCCTGCACGGTTAGCTTGGTACAACATAGGAAAATGGCGGGGGGTCCCGGTGTGCTCGGCCTTCGGCCATTCATTCTAGTCCATGCGCCCGGAGAGCCGGATATTTCAGAAATATTAATGCTTTACATAGACATTGACTTGGACCTCTTCCAGACAGAACGATGTGTTCACCTAGAGTTCGAAGAGCTTTCGGCTCAACTCTTTTGACAATCACACGGGACCCTATATAAGAGCGAAGGTGTTAGTGTCAAGTCGCTTCACGTTACCTCGCAACTTCACCAGTACGAATCGAAGTCGGAGTCAAGAACCAGTCTAGAGGAAGTCGGCATGGAACAGAGAATCAAGTGCAATTCTAGGAAGAGGCGTTGAGTTGATATAGCTTTACAGAGTTGATACGTCGTGTTGTGTTACGTATTGCCAATTGTACAGTATTGGCTGTGATTTATTGAACATTAAACTGTTATGTTACTTTGGAGCCCTGAGTTGTCAAGTTATTTAAGTGGTGTCATGTGGTGTAGTTTGCAGGAAGCTTAAATAGGAAGATATGTTACAATATAAACTTTATAAAGGAGTCTTCGTTGATATAAACACTGAATCTTCAGTAAGACAATGTGTTATCTTAATTGTATTATTTATTGTGCTGAGTAAACGATGTCAGGCTTACCTTACCATACAAAGAATAAAATAAGAAAAACAAATATATAAAAAAAAGACTACCTACTTTATACAACTGAAAGCGCTATTATTTTGCTCTTAATAACTAATGAATGTTGGACATGTGATAGAACATTTTTTAATCCCACTCCCCGAGTAATATTCCTGGTTAAACGAATGTAAAAATCTACTAGAATTTACAATATTCTAATGATAGGCCTTTAGATCTAGACTTAGATGACGATACCAATGATATTCCTGAACATTAATTTAATAAACTCTTAAATGAGTTATGGACTACTTGAGGAAATATCCAATGACATAAATTCTGTTCAAGGTAAATGTTTCCTGGTACTCTAGCTCTCGTTAACCCTCGGCCACAGAAATAAATAACCTTTACATTTACTAATTATATTACTTGAAAGAATGTCAGAAAACAGAGGAGCGAAAATTGTATACAGGCAAAAACCAAAAGGCAGGCGAGTCAAAGGCAGACGCCGAATGAGATGGATTGATGATGTAGAAGCAGATCTGAAGCAGCTTGGGGTCAGGGCATGGAGACGAAAGGCACAAGAGAGATCTGAATGGAAGGATGTGTTGAAGCAGGTCAGTGCCCTCCATGGGCTGCAGCGCCACTGGTATGGTTAGATGAATGCTATGAAAAAATTATAACGATAAAACCAGAGTTTACCTAGTGTGGCTGACGACCTAGTAATTCTGTTCCCAAAGATATACAGCAATTATCCAATTTCTAGGAAAATTGTTATAGACGTTATAGAGATCCGCGTCCACCCAGGTTTTTGAGCTCACTCTGGAAGTTTAAGGTTTTATTTTCGATGAAGGTACGAGTTGAATAGAGGTATTGTAATAACAGCTATTTTTTAAGTGAAAAAACAAGAAATGAAAAACTTTCATTTAAACACATATAATAGTATCATTCCTTTTAAATCAATTTAGATCTATTTATACTTCTAAATGTTTATTTATAAATAATATATTCTTAATAATATTAGCAAAATACCACTGACTGACTGATTTAGTTATGTATCAAGAGATCTCAGCAACTACTGAGCGAATTCGCACGAAATTTCATACACGTGTTCCTTTTACGTGCTTGCTCTGAAAGGGCTTTGACAGATTTGCAGCCTGAACGCCACAATTCGCGAAAAACTGCTAACTTAGTCCGTGTTTTGTTTTCTTAACACTTAGGCATAAGGCATACAATATAAACCAAAATAAACAAATCCCAAAAACTGCTAACCTTCTATAAAACGTTGATATCTTATTTTCGGTATTTCCTCTAAAGGCCGCATTCTATATGTAAAGCTTGTTCAATGTTGTCATTGATGCACGAGCACTTTTCATCAACAAACCAGTGCCCCATTCACCAATTGACATATTGAGGAAGCTGGTATATGGTAATGGTGTGTGCTCAAACCTTGAAAGATCCATTCGAATACTGCTAACTCAAGCCACTTCCATTGCGTCATGCGAGAGATCATTCTGGAAACTCAAGCAATAAACAACTGATACTGATACACTGTACCAATTTGAATGTAGGGCTATATATTTATTAAATACATTATGTCATGATGTCAAATGTCAAATGCAAGGGGCTCCCAAAGAGGTCAATCCCCCCGGACCCCCAAATCCCTAGATATGCCCTTGCACACACACACCTACACATTTTGAATCGCAGAGTCCATAAGTTAAAAGGATGAACAAAAAGTCTAGGGTACTCAGCCACAGTTAAAATTGTACCACTGGTTTGGTTCTCTATTATACACCTGGCTCTGGCGTCTCGATTGTTCCGGATTTTAATTATGCCAAGCGCCATCCGTTGTTCTTCTGCAAGATTTGGAATAGGACGAGACAATTTTCATTTCTGAAGGAGCGTTTTCAAACTTAAAAGTCAAATCACAAGTCAAGTCACAAGTCAAGTAACAAGTCAATTCACAATTTAAGTCACAACTCAAGTCACAAACCCAAGTCACAACTCAATTCTCAACTTAATTTTCATTTGTTAAGGAGCGTTTTGAAACTTAAGTCAAATAACAAGTCAAGTCACAACTCAAGTCACAACTCAAGTCACAACTCAATTCTCAACTCAATTCACAACTCAAGTCGCAACCCAAGTCACAACCCAAGTCACAACTCAAGTCACTACTCAAGTCACAACTCAAGTCACAACTCAAATCACTACTCGAGTCACTACACCTGGACGCTTGAACCTTTATGGAAGAGATAAATAGTTATTGATCATTAAGGAATTAGTTAAGGATCATCCCCGAAATGTCTCGCGACCTATTTGCGGCTCACCAGAATACTAGCAGCTGATGAAAGAATGAGAAAATCTGAGATCCTGAATACCAGACCTGGTGAAGGTTTCAATTCAACTCATTCATCAAACAGACAGCCATGTATGTTCTTTCTTAAAGACGTCAAACTTATTTTGACTGTAAAGTCTCAATGTTTGCACATCCTGGTCGTGGTGGAGATACTAATTGACCTTTTTAGTAGCCTGGCTCCTTAGGCTAGTGTACTATCTTTTGGACAAACAAAAGACTTCGCTCTTGTTAAAAAAAACAACGAAAAAACTATGTGTCGGACAAGGACGTCGCGTTGTATGTTTAAGAAGACTCAGATACCAGGAGAACAAAACATATATCCTGTTTCATCGGAGGACATGTTCTCTTATTACCGAACAAAGGGAGATAATAAAAAAAAATGGGAGAGTACAAGTAGAACTATATCAAGGGACATTTTTGTGTGCTTGGGTAACTGATTTCCTGTATGACTCTATGCGTCCCCTATCCGATTCCGATATTGGACGGGCCCTTTGTTTTATGACCAGATATATAAATATGATGAAGAGGCAATACGATGGTAGTCCGTGGTAGCGTATGTCTTACTGACATAGTCTTATCAAATATTGTATGCAACTTACAATTGTATTGATACTTTAACACTTAAGGTAAGTATGAAAAGGGAAATGTATAGCTATGCGGAACCGTAAATATAGGCTATATATGTGTGTATATATATATATATATATATATAT